GGGGGTGGGGGGAGGACCAGGGAGGATGATTCAACCACTCAACCACTAGATGTCGCTGAAAACAAATCCTACACAGTGTGCCTTTAAATAGATGAGAGAGGCCAGTTGTCATGACATCAGAGTTAGACCTCAACCATGAGAGACTAAATGAGGAAACCGATCTAGAAAATCACATCGTCTGATTTTTTTTTCAAGGCTCAGTTGGTAGAGCTGATGCCCCTTAGCAAGAAGGTCACCGGTTCAAATCTGCCTGGGGACCTTTCTGGGTAGAGTTTGCGTGTTCTCTCTGTGCATGCGTGGGTTTTCTCTGGGTACTCCGGCTTCCTCTCACAGACGAAAAACATGACTGKTCAGGGTTCCTGCGGATCCTTAAAAAGTCTTAAAAGGCCTTAAATTAATAATCCAAAAATAAAGCCTTAATTAGCCTTAAAAGGTCTTAAATCAATCTTTCAGAAGTCTTAAAAATGTTAACACGTTGTAAATAGAATGACTGTAATTCGTATCAGATATTAAAATAATTGGTAACATTTATTTATTTTTGAAATATTCACATTTAAACATTCCCTTTTGACATCACTTCCTGTTATTTCACATGCAAATATCTCAACAACCATCCATCTGAGCAAAGTGAAATTTGTTTTGTATAATAATAATAATAATAATAATAATAATGTTGTTTTTCCAAAATTGCTTTCATGTTTCGCACAAACATTTTACATCACAGTTACTTTAAGGTTTCATCTACAGCAAGCTGGGGTTGAGACCCCACTGTGGGTCCTAAAACTCCAAATTTTGGGTCATTAGAGGATTTGAAGGAATTAAATTAAATTTAAAACTGATTGCTAAGTTTTTTTTAGCTATATTTGACAAAATAGCAGTTAGATATGGATAAAAACAATTGGTCTGTTAGCAATATTTAAATAATTCAACCAAAAATACTCAATCTTACCACTTGAAACATCACTAGCCCTGAAGCTGCTGGTAGACATCGCGGTTGGAATTATCAAAGCTTTTTGACAATTCATGAGTTTCTGACACAGTTTTAAAAAATTTTCATTTGTGTTAATTGTGAAATTGGTCTTAAATTTGATTTCTCTTGGCATTAAAAAGTCTTAAAACATCTTAAATTTAACTTTCCTTAAACTGTAGGAACCCTGCTGTTAGGTTAACTAATTGTCCCCAGGTTTGAGTGAGAGAGTGAATGGTCGTTTGTCTCTGTGTGTCCCTGTGATGGACTGGAGACCTCGCCCCTCAAACTGTGACTGCTGGATATGGGCACCAGTGACCCTGAAAGGAAGAAACGGGTACAGATGATGGATGGATGGATGGATGGATGGATGGATGGATGGATGGATGGATGGATGGATGGATGGATGGATGGATGATTTTTTAAAGAATTTATTTGCAAATTATTGTGGAACCTAAGTATTTGGTCAAAAACAAACAAGCATGATTTCTGTCTCTCAGATCTGTAACTTGTTGCTTCATGGAAGTAGAACCTTAGCCTGTTAGCTTTAGCGTTAGCCTCGATGCTATTACCATATATATGTATTAGCTCAGCGCTACACATTCTCCTCTCGTCACTGAGGTCCTCCATCCACATGACAGAGAGGGGAACACAAAAATGACTCAGCTGCATCTGAAAATAAGGATGGAGGACCTCAGTTTAGCTTGTTTGTCGCGCTAGTGCCGAGCTAATAGATATAAGGCAATATAGCGTAGCGCTAGTGCAAAGGCTAACAGGCTAAGCTGAGGTTCTTCCATGAAGCAGCTCTGTTG